GGCCCGTGTGCAAGTTGCGCACGTTAAAGATCCCTTGGTGGTCTAAAATCGTTAAGAGTAGGGTTCGGCCGCCACCCGGGCAAAATTCAAAATTTCCTACCCACTGAAAATATTAGGTGTGTCCCGCGACGCTCATATGACATTACACAGTTGCGAGCGCCTTAAAACACTTTACCAAAAAAAACCCCAAAAAAACCCCAACAAAAAACAAGAGAGTAATAAACTTAAAAAAGAAGAAGGGGAGATAAGGATGATAGATGTTCGATAGGAAAGAAGGAGCAAACCACACCAGAGCACCCGCCAACCACCCACGTGTTATGCTGTTTGGAGTAAGTATCTACATAACTCAAAAGGTAATTAAATTCCTGCATGTGGTTGAATGATGCGCCTGGTGTGATATGTATACACATGTATGCGTGTTATGGTGTTCGTGAGTGTGTTTGTGTGTGTTTGTGCGTGTATGTGTATGTGTATATGTGTGTGTGTGTGTGTTTGTGTGTATGAGTGTGTGTATTATGCGTGTGTGTAGCGTGCGTGAATGTTGTTTGTACATGCATTTATGTAAAGCGCCTAGAGCTGCGTTTACATGGGAGTGGGCGCTATAGAAATGATCTTCATTATTATTATTATTATTATTATTATGTGTGTGTGTCAGATTGAATTGAATTTTAATGAGAATAATATATTATTTAAAATTGTATGTATACCTGCATTTGTTTTTTACGGCCCCGTACGGCCAAGAACATTTCCCTCTGGGATAATAAAGTATTATCGTTGGTGGTTGGCGGGTGCTCTGGTGTGGTTTGCTTCTTCTTTTCTATCAAACAACTATCGTCATTATCTCCAACTCTTCTTTTTTATGTTTATTACTCTGTTGTAACACCTCTAATCTTTTGGCGCTCATACGACCTTATGCAGTTGCGAGCGCCGTAAAACGTCTACTAAAACAAATATTAAAGTATTATCTTATCTTATCTTATCTCTCTTCTCTTAACATTCTTATGTCAATTTGTGTCATTAATGCTGTTCAGCTCAGAAAGACGATGGAGCCCAATTTGCACTAGTCGTCCTAGTTTTCTTTGTCCTCCTTCTGAACATCTTTAACTTCTCTTCGTTGTCAGTGACTTAACTGCTTCCTTCTGTCTGTATAACGATACGTCGGTACCTTAGATTTATAAAGTTCGAACTGAATTTTTTTTTTTTTTT